GCCCCAGCGGGGTCGGCGGATAAGGGCTACCAGAAAGCGTCAGCTTTGGGTGTGGGGTTTAGGGCTTTAGGGTTTTGGGTTTGAGGGTTTGGGGTTGAGTGTGGACGATAAGGTTTCTGGAAGCGTTCCTATGGGGGCCACTACAAGGGTCCGCTTCGGGTTTTCGCCTTTTTGCTGTTTAGCCACGGCTTTGCGGCTTTGGGGCTTTGGGTTTTGGAGAAGGGCTCTACGGGAATGAATGGCTGTGGATTGGGGGTGTGCGACTTACAGAGTTCAGCATTTGTATTTCCGTCTGGTGTTCTGAGGCACTTCGATTTTTGCGGATCGAACCTTGGGCTTGTATTGGAGTTGCTGGCTTCGGCTTGAGCACAGGGGAGGTTCCGAGAATGGGATTGCGGTTGTCCCCTGCACTGGAAAGGTGAGGCCGTATTGTTGATGGACAAAATTCGGCATACCCAAACATAATAGTATAGTACCATAAATCCCATAGTTTCGGTTTCTCATGCAGGATCTTGTCCATCAGCCGTATGAATCAGTCAGGGTTTGCCATGGTTGCCAGTTTGGAACTCGCTTGGTGGATCTTGACTGCTACTCGTACTAGAACGAGCAACAGCTGTGGTAGGGCTAGTGCCACTGGCAGCAGCAGCTGTAGCAACGGCAGCAGTAGCAGGATAAGTGGTAGTATTAGTACTAGTACCAGTCCTACTAGTTCGAGTTCCAGTTCCAGTTCTAGTACTGGTACTGGTGTTAGTGGTAGCGCGAGCAGTAGTCGTCGTCGTAGTAAGTAGCAGAAGTAGCAGTAGTAGGAGTAGCCGTAGCATTGGAAGTGGGACTCGGGGTGGGAGTGGGGACAGAAGCAGTACGAGCTAGGAGTGGTAGGAGCAGCCGTTGTCGTCATGGTAGTGGTAGTATGTGGTAGTACTAGCGGCAGTTCTCGTCGTCGCCGTCGTCGTAGTGGTAGTGGTAGTCTCGTCGTAGTCATACTAGAGAATCCCAAACCCCTCAAACTTCCCCCCCACAAAAAACACTAATTATTGCTGTATACAGTCCCCAAACCCCACTCAGAGTGTGCAGACCCCTACGCTATCACCTTCCGAAACCCAAGCTCAAGCTGAAACGACAGGGCATCTACGTCCAGTTCTACAAACTGCTGAGGCTTGGGAAGGAAGGTTACCAGGAGCAGGTGCGCCGATCTGGCGGGGATTGGGGTTCTATACGTGTGATAAAGTATAGTATAAAGCTTACCATAGGGGTGCTAATGTGGGTTTCTATACAGCTTACTACACAGCTTACGACAATAATTACAGTAAGGGGTTCCATCATAGTTTGCGGGTTTAGGAGTTTTGGGTTTTGTATGACAGGTTTACGCAGGCATTCGGGTTGGACTGTTGCAAACAAGAGGCTGTTTCAGCATCCCTTCTGACAGAAAGCTCCTCAGAAAATGCGCATGTCAGGGCGGGACCAATTTTGCTTAGACGCTTGAAAAAGGAAGGTGCCCCTTCAAGAACCCAAGCAAGACAAGAGTCCTATGCTCTAGGCCGACTACGGAACTACGACAGACTATAACATACTGTTGATCTTGATTACAGAACCAAAGCAAGAGCAACACCCTCTTCCGGAACCCTAAAACTCATAAATGCTGAACCTTAAAAACCCCAGAGCCCTTAAATCCCTAAACCCGAAACTCGTGAATCCTAAACCCCCGAAAGGCCCCGAACGCCCTTCAGCCCTGAACCTAAAAGCCCTAGAGCCCCAACACCTCGACCCTAAACCAAAAAACTCGGCCTAAGAGGTCCGGAACCAGATGACCGTTGCGAGGTACCTCCGTGAAGGCGTGAACCAATGAAGAGAAGGGCCTGAAGAATTTAGTATTAGATCAGTATATTACTTATAAGGGCTCTAGGGTTCAGGAATTTTAGGTTCAGGGTTTAGGCGTCAGGGTTTTTTGGGTTTGGCATTCAGGATTTTTGCTAGGGTTCTGGTCTTTAGGGTTTCAGGTTTGGGAATGGAGCTTTGATACGTCGGGTTACGTGGATGTGTGAGGGTCCGTGAGTTGTGGTAGACCCGGCATTTAAGCTTCCAGGAACGCTGCCGGAACACCTCTCATTGAGATTGCCGCCGGTCGTCTTACACAGTTGAAGTGCGCGTACCCATACGCCCCATAGTAGTTCCTTTTTGGGTTTTACCTTATAGGATTCTAAATATGAACCCCCAAAAGGAACTACTATGGGGCCTATGGGTAGGCAAGCCCCTGTCTGGATGCTCGACTCTAAGGTGTCTGCTGATGCCTTCGCTGTAGCGGTCTCACAGCACGTCCCCCGGCCACGAGCTTTCGTTGCACAGTTCGCGCCCTGCCCTGAGTAGCCGGTCTTTGGGAGACACAGCTGCGTGAGCTTCGTGCTTGTCGTATTTTGCACTAAATTGTCTGCGAGCGTACGCTTCTTCTCGTGCTGAGCCATTAATCGTCTCTGTCTGGAGCAAATCCCATGTTGTATCTTACTTACGGATTAGAGCATCGAAAGCTTCAACGTATCCGGGCCGTCAGTGTGGCGGGCGCCCCACAGGGTCAACGGCGATTGCAAACGCCGCTCGCACTGTCGCACTTTGCCACGGGTCTGTTGTGGTTTGTCCATTTGTATCCTTATGCTGGAACAGGTCGCTCGTCGGTACAGTCGATCCGTGACCATCTATATATAGGCGCCTTAATCATTACCTATACTATTTCGGGGTTCCTTAGTATAGCTAAAGTATACTATATATCCCCAAAACTCTATATTAAGGCCCTTACATTACAAGATCTTGGTCCAGAGGTTGACTGACGTGATGGACCCTCAGGTTCAGGCTTCCCCTTCTCCCAACGAGGTTCGCGCGTCCGCGCCTTGCTTGCCCTCAAGCCTGCCTGAAAAAAAGACTTATGCAGGGTCTTGGCTTTCCTTGCTGACGAGAGCTTGTCCGCCTGGGTGGCACCAGCTGAGCCCGCGAGATCTCGTCCCCGCACGCGCCAGCTCCGGATCAAGCAGCGCGATCCTAAACTATATGGCGATGGCCGCAAGCTGCCATATGTATGGTCGTCCGTCGGTACAGTCGATCCGCGACCACCTATATACATGATCTTGGTCCAGAGGTTGAGATGATGGACCTTCAGGGTCGGGCCTTCCCGTTCTTCTGAGTTTCGCGCCGTTCGCGCCTCGTAATTGCACTACTTGAGGCCCGGCTGAGATCAAAGTTTCGACGACGGCCGGGGTTATAACCTGTTTTTGCTTCTCTGAAATTACCCATAGGCCCCATAGTAGTTCCTTTTTGGGGTTCATATTTAGAATCCTACAAGGTAATCCCAAAAAGGAACTACTATGGGGTCTATGGGTAGTTTTGCTTCTCTGAAATTAGTTGCGGTGTATGGAGACGATAAGGCGGACTTCGGCCGGCGCAACAAGACATGGCGGGCAACAGCAAAGCTGACTGTTCGTTCGTTGCTCTGTCGGTTTCGGCGTGCCTATCTGGCAGTTGCTACAGCTACTACGTCACAGTCGGTTTTGTGGTCTTTGTTCATCCTTTAGAAACAACTTGCATGATTGCATCGTCCCATTGCGGGCTGCGGACTTCAGGCATCACAGACGCGAGAGTAGAGCCTTTGTGTCCAGGGGCATCGTCCGACCGTCCGACCACTGAAATGACAGTGAAAAGAACTCCTGCCATCAGACATGTCCAGATGGCAGTTACTGTAGAGGCCTTACTGATTAGAATGGGGATTTTGGGTATATTAAGTACACTATACTTACAGCAAGGAACCCCCCAAAATAGTATCGGTAATGATGAAGGCCTCTATAGTACGCAAGGCATCGCAGCAGATCTTGTACTCGAACCGAGGGTTGTTGTTCAGAGAGAGCCAGGAAGTTGCAAGTTGCATCACGGGACATGCCGGCATGTGGAATTTCGGAAAACCGGGGCCTTAATGCAAGCTGCCCGTAGTCCAATTGTAGGCTCCTTAACTCCTAATGCAAGAACCTCCCCTATAATCGGAGCCCTACATTCAACAAATACGCTTGGTCAGGGCTGAAGAGCATCAAAGCCAACGACCAGCCGATCTTCACCATCCTCGATGCGGCCCCCAAAGCTCAATATTCGGGCTTGGGGTTTGGAGTTGTAGTTGTCTTCAGGATTCTGCGTTTTGGGCGTAGGGTCCCGTTGTGTTACAAATGCCACACAGTCTTGGTAAGGGCTGAGGGTGCTAACATCTGCCGTGACGGTGTAATAGCAACTAGCAGAAAACTGTCGCGTAAGTTCACTCACACCAACAATGTATCCCCAGTAGTACCCTCATGCTTTTAGGTACTAGCAGAATAGCCTAATAATAAAAGTTGAACATGGAGGTTTGCATAGTAATGGGTCATAGATGGTCATAATATCACCATCTACAGTCCATGAAAAATTGTAATTCAAACGTACCCCACCCTATTCCAGGTATCATGGCTCTATGACAAAACCTCTGCAAGATCATAGGATGAAAGCCGTTTCACACTTCACAAGGCACCTGTCTTGGGGTGAGGATTGGCCCTGGACTTCGGTTGGGGCTGTTGAAAGCCGGTGTTCGGAATGTCGTGCTTGGGACCTGGGTCTAGGGTTTGCGGTTTGGGGCTCAGGGGGTTTAGGGGTCTAGGATTGCGGGTTCAGGGCTCGGCAGGTTAGGGGGTTTTGGGTTTCGGGTTTGAGGGTTTAGGCTAATTGGGGGGTCTAGGGTATTGGGCTTTGGGTTGAGGCAAGCTTCCGAACTTCTGATTGCTTTCACCTACTTTGAAGCCCCATCCGATAGCCCGTCTCGTTCATTGCACAGGGCAGGCCGGAGATCCACATCGTCACCCGACATGTTTCGAATGGTGGCAGTAGTGATTTCATTATGACCATTCTTCCTGCTATGATGTGTAACTGTAAGGGTTATACACTATCAGTATTGCTACCTATGCTACTACTGTCGCTGTTGGTCAGAAGGGCCCTGGTATACTGTCACGCATCATGGATAGTCCTTGTTTTGACTCTTATGATCATGCAGATCATCGTGGTCAGAGTTTAAGAAGCCCTGGCCTATATACTGGCAACAACGTTGCAGCCAAGCCTCAGTCGCCGAGGTTGGCATGAGTGAGCAGAAGCTGTGCTTGCCGGTGGCCGGGCTTTGCAACAGAGTTTTGGGCTTCGCAGGCATGGTGGGGCTTCTCTTGATGCAAAGGCTCAGGACTTCAGGTATTTGGGGTTAACCCGAATCAGCAGAATTGAGAATCCCAAAATCCTAAACCCTAAACCGTAGGGGGCTTGTGGGTTGAAGGATTTCGCACTGTCCGGGGCAAAAGCATAGTCGAGGGGGCATGGGTTTGGGTCCGCGGGCTTCACGACTACTGCCAGTGCTACTGCTGCTGCCGCTACTCCTACCGCTACTGCTGCTACTACTACTGCTACTACTACTACTACTACTACTAGTACTAGTACTAATACTAATACTAATACTAATACTAATACTAATACTAATACTATTACTAATACTAATACTAATACTAATACTAATACTAATACTAATACTAATACTACTACTAATACTAATACTAATACCAATACCAATACTAATACTAATACTAATACTAATACTAATACTAATACTAATACTAATACTAATACTAATCTAACACGAATACTAATACTAATACTAATACGAATACTAATACTAATACGATTACTAATACTAATACTGCTACTCCTACTCCTGCTCTAATTGCTATGCCTCCTCCTACTACTGCCACCACGACAACAACGACAACAACGACAACAACAACTACTCCTACTACTGCTACCACTACTACTGGTACTACTACTAGTACTACTACTTACTACTACTAGTACTACGAATGCTTTCAAAATTGCCACCACTACCACTACTACTACTACTACTCCTACTACTACTACTACTACTACTACTACTACTACTACTACTTCTACTACTACTTCTACTACCACCACTACCACTACCACTACTACGAGCCACCCCCCGTCATCGTCATGAACATCGACATCATCCCAAAAGCATGATCAGCATCATCTAAAATTATCGTCACCATAGTCTAACGTCATCCTCCAACACACCTGCTCTTAAACATGTTCAGGCAACATCCATGTTACGCGGTATTTACAACACTTTCGTCATGTAGTATCATCTTGTGAAGCCTCAAAGTCGACTTGTCGAGTTTGCAAACTCGAACGTCGGATTTTGGATTTTTTTGGGGGGTGGTGTGTGCGCGGAATAGTGTCGTGATCATCCCCGAAAAGACTTGTCCCACCCAATTTCGAGTTTTCGCCGCAAACCGTTCGAGACACCAAGGTTTAAGACGCACAGTCCAGAAGTAGGGCTGGCAACTATATAAGAAAGTACGACATCACGAAAGTACTGTAAATACCGAGTAAGACGGCTCTTGTGGTGATATTGTTGGTTGTGTTTGCGCAACACTGTCGTCATCATCCCCCCCCCACCCCCACCCCCCCCAGAAGCAAGTCCAAAATCAAGAGGCCGAGTTTGCAAACTCGGCAAGTCGATTTTGAGGCTTATTATGATGATCGTACATGACGAAAGTGATGTAAATACCGAGTAAAACGGACGTGCTCTTAAGATGGTTTAGAGCAAGTGTAGTTGGTAGTGGGGGCCTCCTCCTCCTCCTACTACTACTACTACTACCACCACCACCACCACTACTACTGCTACTGCTACTGCTACTGCTACTGGTTCTGCTACTATTCCTAGTAGTCCTACTGTTCTTACTGCTCCTACTTCTCCTACCGCCACGGCCTTCACGTTTAGCGCTCCCGGCGCATTACACCCCATAGCAACCTCCAGCTAAAACCTTGAGGCCCTTTCCGCGGTAACATGTTTGTTTCCAGGCAAGCTGCCGACACTGGAAGATCGATATCGATCGACCTGCGGCCCGGATTCGGAGTCAGGGAACATCAGACGGTCAGGTTGTAGGACAGGGTCAGAGCTGCAGATACTGATGGAGTTCAGGTCGTTCGGGTTGAAGCTTCCGGGGGCTGTGCGTGTTGCAGATTTCTCGATTCACGTGGTCCTCTTGTTCCTCATCTGACAGTTCTCAGGCGGGCACCTTTCACAAATCCTGACCTGAAGTTTGGCATCCTCTTGATAATTATTGCTTATAGGAGGTGCTGTAGTTGTGCTTGAAATATTGGGCTTCGGTCTTCCGACTTCCAGGCAATTTTGTAACAGGAGTCCAAGTTAGCTGGATGAGAACTTGCAGCACGAAGTCCCGTGCGCATACAGGCTGGCGTTTGCCAACATAAGAAGTCGGAGAAGGTTACCAAAGTGTTCCCACTGTTTGCAGGAAAAGTACAACAACACATCGAGATCGGCTCCTCTGCGTTTCGTTTTATGAGATATATGATATATGTGTGAAATGACCTGTCAGGCACTAGATTCCCTTGCAAATAATCCAACCCCCCATCCAACTAGCCTTAAGAAACTCTCTGAGCCTCGAAAGCAACCCGAGGCCGCAATAGGCGCACCGTCCCCGTCCCATCCTCCTTCGTGGAGGGAGGGCCTTTTGGCATGCAGTGCAGGGCCCCGGCCGGATAGATCGAGTGAGCAGATGTTCTGATTGTCTAGTTACCGTTGCAGGATGTACTTACACATGTTTGCACAGACCTGTAGCCTGCCAGCTGGCAGACATGCAGTCTGGCAGACGGGTGTGCCATTGCATAAGCTTACATGGATATGTAAGTACATACATTCATCAACTCTCAGAAGGGAAGTGCGGCCAGACAGAGCGAATTTAAGCAAAAACATCTGCAGGAGTAACATGTATTAGTAGGCTTTGGTGAGTCTTAGGATTCTTAGCCAAGACTGCATGAAGCAGTCAACAAGATGTTTAGAGAGTGAGCATTTCATCGATGACGACGACAAGAACACCGAAAGGACGCATGACTTCTGTTTCCGCGTCCAGCCTGTCATGCATCATGCATATGTTGTTCGACGCCTCAAATAGTAGAGGGGGTGCACGAAATTCCCAAAGGCTGCGGGGCTTCTGAGGCTCCAGTGGCGGGGGAGCTTCCGAAGACACCCTTCTTTTGTTCCAAAAACCTAACCCTACAAATTCCTGGAGCTGGCTTCGAACTGCAAGGGAAGCGAGGGCTTCCATTTTGCAAGGTCCAAGAAGCTGGACGCGAGGGGCATGACAGAGGCCACAATGTTGGGACTAGGGTGCTCGAAGCATGTGAGATTTTTCGGTCGAGGGCTACTTTTCTCTTGGATCTTCGGGATGTGGTTGCGGAATCAGTTCCTTTCCAGGCCTTGGGGTGCGGCAACATCTGTGAGAGAACAGTCTGACACCTTGGCGGAATCAATCCGTCCTTCCAATTCCGAGGGAGTTCCCGGTTTACTGCTCGCCCTGTGTGTCGCCACTGTGCTGTCTCTTCGAGCCGTGGCGTTCCAGCACGGGTTTGACAACTGGAAAATGCCAGCCTTGAGCTCTCGGCTTTGGTGTGTTAACTCAGGATCCACATGTCTGGGATCTGGGGCATGGCACCCAGGGGTAGCCTACGACTTAAGGCTAACTGCTTAGGCTCCCCCCTACGTCTTCCCATGGACTCGCGAAACGAGTTCCCGCTGCCCATGGGCAGTTGGTGAACTCGCGTTTTGGTGAGGGAGCTGCGCGCGCGGCTGGCCGTACCCGTACGTACAGCTACTTCTTTCTGCGACCTCCACAAGTGTTGTAGTGTTCTGCCCAGTAAAGCCAAGTTTTTGATTATGCTGAAGTCTTGTGAACGTGTAGGCGATTTGGCAAGCAACGGCGGCGAGACAACAATCGAGTTGTATGATTATTCGTAGAGGTTCGGCGGGAATTGTAGAATAATGCAGATAAGATTGAGCCTGAAGGTGTGACACTAGAACTGACTTCTAGACTGACCTCTAGAATCTGAACTTAATTACAACCGAGCTCTGCCTGCACTTACCCAGATTCGTCGTGGATGAGTGGAACTCTTCGTTACGTCGTACAGTCACCCCAGTCCAAGAAAAGCCTGTAATCTCACCATTCAGGCACAGCTCCTTTCCTTGCTTCACGTCTTGGACGACGGACGACAGGTGGAAGACCTCGATCTTGCCGGGGCCTTAGTCTGTGCCTACGGGGGTCCAGCAGTTGGACGTCTAGGGCTTAGTTTCCGCGATAGCTTGCGTGGTCGTTGCCGAAGAGAACAGGAAAATTGGCTAGCGGTTCACGACGGCCGGAGCTATGCCCAGCACAAGACTGCAGGGTGGTGACGAGGGCGTCGCAAACTTCTGTACAGCTGGGACACAAGGAGCTACAGGGAGAGCCGAATTACAGGTGTGCGCATCCTTGTCTCAAGATCCAAGTCGCACAGTGTCACATAAAAATGGAGTTTCTGTCTTCCTGTCTGGTAGTCACCCGACTCTTTTTCAACCCGGTTACTGTCAGCCAGGGCGTTTGCCTGGGCAACAAGCACCCCTGTCGAAGCGCTCGTAAGTTCTGCTACGACGGTGCATGACAAGGAATCTTGCTCCAACCAAGCCTCGCAATATCGGAGTCCTGCCCAGGAAAACAATCGCCTGGCCTCGGCCTCAGGGTCAAGATACTATGGATCTTGTTTTTGACCTGAGCATTTCTTCAGAAGTGCCCTCCTGGGCTTCACAGTGTGTTCATGACGTCTGGTGGGCTTCGGGATCCCGACAAGTGGCCCTGAATCGCGTGAAGATTCCTAAGGCTTTGGGAGCTTGCTCAAACCCTGAGCAACAGGACCTAGGAGATTCTAGGAGTCCAACAGTCCAGAGGAGGTTCAGCAGCGAACGAAGCCAGAAGCCCCAACGAAGGAATTCCGTAACTCGCAGTCGTGGATCACAGTGCTATTGTTCTTGTTTGCATCGCCCATTTACTCTATAGTTCTTATCATTCAGATTTTTACTCTCAGCCTTCCTAGCGATGAAGCTTGGGCGCGTGTGGTTGCAGACTCGGCGCAGGGTCAAGTACCACCAGCCCTTGACGGCTCGTCACTTCACTTTTCCCCAATTGTACATTATTCCACTGCCAAACCATGAACCCGAAGCCGACATGAGCCTTGAGCTATCGTGTCCGTGATGTTCTGACGGTTGCACTGGTCCAGATCCCCTAGCAACACGGTGTCTTCCCCCGAGGTGAGTGACGTCTCCCTGGCACCCTTGATGCGGAAGCTGCGTGAGCCACACATGAGGGTGCCTCGGCTTTCCTGGCTCCTTCGAGTCGAAAAACACAGGGAAGAGAGCAGACTCTCCATGCTGCGCTGCTCCACCTTTGACTGGACTTCCACATCGCAGCCCTCGTGAGAACAATGCAATGACTTCTGCTGCAGAATGGAAAGCAATAGCTTGTTCCCCTCAGAGCTCTGCCGTGTGAGGCTTTCAACGTTACGAGCTTAGCCAAGTGGACCGAGTGGGTTGTCACATTTTCCTTCATCTGGGTGCACTTCGCCCAAGTACTGCTATTGGCCAAATCGGCAGACCGCAAGCTTTGAGACAGGTTGGAGGTTTGAAGCAAGAATCAAAGTTTCATATTTGAGAATTTAAGGGTGGGCCTTTTGGGAGGGGAACGAGGTTGTTGGGAGAGGGAATGTCTGAGGGGCGGAGGGCGAATCTCAGCGAGACGACCAGGCAATTATGGGAAGCCAATCTCCGAGCAAGGAGTCGGTGCGAAGAATCAACTTTCGCCAATGCTGTCGCGTGGGCAGCGCCACGCTGGACATGTGCGTGGAGCCTGCCCGGCCTGTGAATCAGGATTCTTAGTGTGATCGTGCTTGTCGTGGTCGTCGTCGTCGCACACTTTATGCCGTACTGCTCGTAGCAGTAATTGGTTATTTCTTGCACGGACTCATTTCGCATCACCCAGCCTTCCTGGTGTGATGTGTGCAGCAGCTGCATTGGTGGAGGCAGGTAGTCAGCCGTCGGAGCGCCCCGAGCACTACTCATAGTCTTGCTGGCATCAGTGTCTGCCAACCCACTCTGCTGTCAGGCCTGTTTCAGGATGGTAGTGAGTGATGCAGCCCCCACTGCCTTTGACTATGATTATGATGATCATGCTGATCTCGTGTCCATAAACTGTGTAGGATGTTGAGGACGAGCGATGATGAAGATGACGATGATGTTCATCGCGGTGATGATTATGCCGGCAGTGATGCTGGTCGTGGTGGCGGTGGGCATGTATGAGTTTATGGCTACGTTCGTTGACTACCATGGCGATCAGCACTTCCATTGCCGTGGTGTCTCTGGTTTCATTCGCGCATGGAGCGATCTTGCTCTGTCACTTTGGGTTTAGCGGTATTCTGCTACTTGTTGTATGGTAGTCCTCGGGTTATTACAGCAAGTCTAAGTATTCGCATTGCTGATGTGAGCATCATCTTTATGCATGATTTACACCATGGTCAGCACCATAATGAGCATCTTGGGGTCGTTATTACATCTGCGACCATGGTACCACTAATCTCCACTACTGTAGCTACCAAACCATTTCCTATGAGTACTGCTGTCCGATACTCGTACTGAATCCTGTGGTTGTCTCAGTGATGCGTGTCCGCTTTGTCAGTTACTATCCGTTCTGTGACCACTCGTGCTGCTCTAGTCTGACATGCATGAAAGCCTTCCGGTGTTTGGTGTTTCTTGTCTTCTTGGTCGTTCTCAAGCCGGGAAAACACCCTTTTGCAGATGGCATTGCCCTCAACCGTGTATAGGAACGCTTATGGCCATCAAGAAACATTGAATGGCCCATGACATCCAAAGAAGTGCAGCTGCCTTTTGTGCCAGGCTTCTGGCAGTGGCCATGAACTTAAAGCATGTCGCCGCATCCTCAGTGACTTGAGGTTCAGTTGATAGGCCTTGGGAGATGCTACTGCTACGCCCTGGGAATGATGCAGTCTTCGGATAGCTTTGTGTTATCTGGGGCTTCTGTTAGAAAATATTTAGTGCAACGTTTGCACATCGCGGGTTCAAGGAAGGCTTAGACTTAAGCCTAAAGGTTTGGGGTGAGCAGTTCACAGCTTGTCGAAGTCGGCTGCATGAAATGATAGGTTTGTGCATTCTTGTGAACTTTTGTTCGTCAGACTCTGCAAGATAGCGGGTCGGGTGTAGTCGTTTGTCCAAGGCGTTCGATTCTTAAGACAGAAGGCCCGAAGGTTCCAAGTCCCTGCACCGCGTCAACTCGTATGGCATCCTGTTCGCCACACACTTTATTTGGTAGAGGGCGCTGCTTTCTGAGTGGTACATCGGTCTCTCTGCCTTTTTGTCAACTGTATGCTTGTGTTGATTCTTCACGGAACAGGCCACAGAACGGCAAACATCCGGAGAACGGCAAAACATCCATGCTTGTTTTGTGGCCTTCGCGGCCGCACTCTTTATCCCCTCCACCTTCTCAAGTCCGTGAACGGGTTGGGGAAGCCCGAAAAACCAATGCACTTCTGGTTTCCAGGACATGAGTGGCCTGAATCTCGCCGTGAAGTTGCAACTGCCACTCTGCATGGGGCTCGGCAGTCACCAGGTCGGCGTCTTAGAGGATTCACAGCATTGGATCACCCGTCTTGTAAGGCGTAGGTGCTCTCTGTCTGGGCAATGCTTACAGTAGGGTCTTAGTAGGGAAGCATGCAGAAGGTGCTGGCCGTGTAGTTGTTCTTGCACACTGAATAACGGAGATCTGGCATCCAACACGTTGGACAAGGCGAAACTGACGGCTTGGAACATGGAAGTGTGGTCAAGCGCCGAGAAACCCAAACTTCACCCCTTTGACAATTGAGTGAACATCGGAGCCCTCTATTACGACCTCCCTAAGCGTCCCCAGCCCGCCGCAGTCCCTGGAGACAGTGGCTCTGGTCGGTGTGGGTCTTGGAGGCCTGGTTCTTGCCTTGTGTTGGCTGAGTCCAGAGAGTCCATCGTGCTTGTAAAGGCTTGCGGCTCATGTTTTAAGATCTTTCTGGTTTAAGGCGCAATCTGCCCGTTTGGAGCTCAAGCTGCACCATTTTGGAGCTCACAAAGTGTCAACCTCCCTCTCTGGAAGAGATACGGCAAACAGATGCTCTGCGAGAAGGGATAGATTCGCATATTCTGCTTTGCTTCGGTCTCGCTTGTCGTTGGAAAACCTTCGGAAATGTTCATCACAAGTCCCTGATATGTCGAGCCTTCGAGGCAAGCACACTCCTGCCATGTTGAAGCCGCCAATATGTCCTTGTATCTGCTGGGCAAAGGCACCCACTCCTTTTCGAGCAGTCTGAACGGCTAGATCACTGACTTGAGTTTGATGAACCTCGGAACTGGCAAATATTTCCTCGCCCCGCCCCGAGCCCCGAAGCCTCGAAATGTAGACCCCAACCAGATAACTCGTCCTCAGAGGCAGCTGCGGGGCTGCTGAGTGTGTTCGCGACATGATTTAAGCACTGTGAGTTCGCAGCTACATTTGTTCCGGGATTTTGGATTCTGGGGTTCTGTATTCTGGCATGCTGGTATTCTTGATTTGCACCACATTGCTTTTTCGCGAAGGCCGCGCACGATGCGCATTTTGTACATCCTAGGTTTCAAACCGGACTTCTTGCTGTAGACATCCATATGATTGAAAAATGTTCATCATCGGTGGTGCCAGCATCGCTTTTCCGGGTGCGATGCATCTCAGGACGTCTCGTCGGCAGCATCAGCATCACATCACTGGACTTGAGTTGGAACTGCTTCGACCAGCAGGAGCCAATAGCACATCGGAGCATTTAAGTCCCCATGGACCGTCACAGTCCATGGACTGGCCATAGACATGCAGCTGCACATGCCGGTCTTCCGTGTTGCATCTGCACTACTCACGAAGAACATCGTAGAACCTTATTCTGATCCGCTGCGCGTTAAGATGTCTCGCTGCGGCAGTGCGCTCAAACCCTGTAGGAGATTGAAACCAGTGAAGCTTTCAGCCCTGTGCAGTATCCCAAAGCCCCGAAAGCTAAAGCTTCAAAGCCTTTTTGCCTGTACCTCAGGTTGCTCCGATTTGTCACGCCAACACGTCGTTTGCTATGCATTCCCTTTCTTCACGACAAGTCCACAATCGCCATGTGGAGCGTATCCTCACCTGGCACGAGCCCGGCGAGCATGACGGTCGTTGTCAAGCGAATGCTGAAATTATCGCCATCATGTTCCTATCGTCGTCAGCACCACCGGATCGGGGAATGTCGGAGTGTGTCAGCCCAAAGAATGCATACATCTCGCGTCCATACTGAAGCAGATTGCACTGTTGGGTGCTTCGTCTTTGGCAGGGGGTTGTGGGTTTGGGGTGGCGGCTGTTGCTGTCGCTTGCACTTCAGCAACTTGCTGGTGTGTTTCCACAGAGTAGTTAATTTCTTTTGGTTGATGCGGATTTTTGCTGGCTGCGCATCGTCTGAATATTGTGCTTTTAAAGTTCGTTAGCTGGCATGCATGGCTGCTTCATCGTGTGAAGATGCGTACGCTGTTTGCGCTTTCCTGTGCTGGCGCTTGTTTCACGATGTTTCATGGTGATTACGGAGTTCTGAAGCGTGACAGCAGCGCGGCGCCTCAGTCACACGGCCTTGCTTTGAGGAACATCAGCAACCGTTTCGCCTTGATAGACGAGCTTCACTGATGTCATGTAGTAGAAGTGGTGCCCAAAGTTTCAGCTCTGCACTACTGGTGTGCTCACATGTTGCTAAGCATGTATCATCGTCTTTCCGATGCGCGTACAGGACCAGCGGCTGCAGCTTGCGCATGTATATATACTCGTACATGATCTGTTGGAAGGCGTCGGAAGCAACATGAGTGAAGATCAAGCGCAGACCACCTTGACAGACCCTACTGTAGGAGTTCCAGCAGATGGGCAAGCAGCTCGTCCAGACCAGGCCGAGTCACGGGCTTGCGATAGTTTAGGGGAATACAATCAGTGTGTGCGAGCAAGGTGAAGCTTCCACGGATTTCGGGAGTCTTTTCATTGATTGCAGTGACGTAGTTGTAAGATCTTCTCGCAGGCAAGTAGGAAGGCTTGAGCATGTTGTACGAGTCTTGTTTTGAACCTATGCCCTCACAATGGCGAGCAAAAGAACAGAGTCGTCAGGATCATCTTCGAGCGCCGTGCATTCGCTGAGAGCTGAATCGGGTCATTCGTTTCCGAGAGTACCTCCTAACCCGAGTCTTCGAGACCCCAATGATCCCAAGTCCCAAAACACCAAATCTAAGCCTTTTAACATCAGGAGCTCGAAGCTGAAGAAGCTTTGCTTGGACTCCACCTCCAGCGTCGTCGGTTCTAGCGACTCCTCCATTGCGGAGCCACCCGTCGAGACAGCAAAGGCTCAGACAGGTACAAGAGCTCGGTTTGCAATAACAACACCACCAATGCTCACGATAGCATATGCTCAATCAGGCAAAATTTGCGAAGCATTCCTCACAATGCCATGCAGTTACTCCTTACTGTAGCAATTTGCTGCCATACAACCAGCTTCGCCTCCCACACCAACCTCGAAGCTAGCAGCAACCGGCCGAGATTCAGGGCGTGAGTGCACATGCACTTGTCGATTCATCGAGCTCGGCCTTATGCATGTAGCCACGAAATCTTACGATACTTGCACAGCTTCGATGTCACATTGAACCGGGGGACTTCGAAACGTGGTGCTGATTTGATCAAGGGCCCCTTGAACGGGGATCGTCTCATTCCATGCATTGGAGTCGCATCTTTTTGCAAGCGCTCCTTCGTCGCAGCGTCCGAGATCTGGTGGCTTTCTGTTTTCCTCATGGGGACCCAAACAAAGCCCTACAAACCCCCCAATCCCCAAGCTAGTGTTCGTCGTAAGCTGCTTAAGTTGCAAGAGTCAGTGGATTTTCGGTGAAGTGTCCAAGACTGCGAGCATGCTTTACGGATCTTCGTCCACCTCCTGGGAACAACTGCTGCCGGAAGTTTTCCCACGTGTTTTTGTTTGACAGAGCAGCTCAAGTCTTGAAAGCTGTCCCAATCCGATGACTCGAAATCCCCAAATCCGTAAGATCTCAACCCAAGGCTGTTGGAGGCCCTGGCCTACAACAGGACCCTGTCCTCACTGAGCATCGCCGCTAACCGATGCTTGGCTGGATTAAGTTCAAGCGGTCCGGGAATTGGGGTACGTAAACCGAAAGCAACTGAATGATGGTCGATGGATCATTGTTCGGTTTGCTCTGACCCTCTCTTCCTCTTGTGTTCACCTGCGCGCGGGAGCAGGAGCAGGAAAAGTAGCAGCGGCAGGAGCAGTAGCAGTAGCAGTAGCAGTAAGAGTAACAATTAGCAGCAGCAGCAGCAGCAGCAGCAGCAGCAGCAGCAGCAGCAGCAGCAGCAGGCGTAGCAGTAGCAGAAGCAGTAGCAGGAGCAGCAGCAGCAGCAGCTGCATCTGCAGCAATAGCAGTAAGCAGGAGTAGAAGAAGATTGGAGGAACTGATCTTGTGCCCAACCTCATCCAGACGACAAGTTATCACCTTTATGTGAATCGTTCAGGCTTGTTTTGGTCCAAGAATCCCCGAACTTCTTGGAAGACCGAAATCAGCAGGCTTACAAGGAAGGGTTCTGAGTCGCAAGTTCGGGCAATGTCTGTCGTGCTGGAAATCATCTACGCGGCAACATGTGAATTATTGAAGCGTCTGAGCAAATACTTCTTGAAAAGATGGTTAAAGCCAAAGAGTGCCAGTTCGGAATAATTCGGAGGCAGCACGTTCAGAGGTTTAGGCGTTTGTTTGGCTGCTCGAACCGCGACAGCAACCTAAATCACTGAAGGTTGAGTTTTCGGTCGACACCCCAAACCGTAAGGTGTCACAACATCAACCTCCAAACAGGCAATGTGCCCAAAACGTCAAATGCCAGGAATCGACTTCAAAGCGTCGCTGGTTTTGGAGGACGCCCTCGAGAACCACAAGCCCATGAAGAAGCTAAACCTTGCTCAGATGCTCGGACCACATACCCCATGTGGCAGTTTCTTGGTTAACCAACATTGTGCTCTTTGTGACTTTGTCCGATTGATCGAAGCCAGAGTCCTCGCAAGCAGTCTGGCTCATCGCTGCTCTGAGGGCATGGCTTTGCTTACAAGATACGGCAGCCGTGAATGGGATGGTTGGAGCTTTGGAAGGCTGATGCGGCTAAGATTTGGACGAAGGTCTCCGTGTTATGGCTTCTGGGGCAGCTATGCAGGAATATGGCTACTGGAATCGTTATCATGCCAGACTTCAGCAACTCTAGTATCTGGCTGAAGGCTCGTGTAGAGCGTTCGTGGTCAGCGACCTTTGAGTGGCATCACACGCACGCACGCACGCATACGAGCGGACGTCATGTGTTGCGTTTCTGAAGTGGGAGCGGAAACAGCATATCCACAAACGAGGGACCGGTGTATTGCTTTCTTGACACTGGCATCGCAGGTAAGATATGTCGGCATCACGGGATGTAACCTTGCGTGTGGATGTGTATTTAAGCATGGATTTAAGCAAGTAGCTTGCGCTGAAAAGCTCACCACTTGACCTTGATGATCCCGAATGCCTAAAACCCGAACACGGCTGAAGGATCCTGACCCTGAAGGCGTAAGAGCCCGAAGTAAGAGCCATGTGTAATGTGAGAGAACCCGCAGCAGGTGTACCGGGCGAAACACTGCACGATTCACAAAGCCGTCCGCAACGGTGAAGCCTGAGCCACAAGCATCCCGATCTACCAGTGAATTGGCACGCCATCCAATCAAACCCATTCCTTGCATTGTGCTGAACTATGGTCCCGCAATTGTCGTGAACCCCTGCGAAGAAAAAGCAAGTGTAGCACAAGCTTATCACCAAAGGCCCTCCTTCAAGTCTAGGAATCCGCTGGGGTCTCTGGGCCTACGGAGCCTTCTGCGTCTGCTGTCCAGAGAGTCCAACGAGATCCGGTGCCTTGTCCGTGGTTTGGGGTTTCGCCCACAGAGCTCTGCTTCACGGATATGTTCACTGTTCCGGCTGAGTTTTTGGGTGCTGACAGTCAAAGTAGTGTCTATTGCGTCTCATGTTCAGGCTGATCCAGTTGTCGGGACCAAGCTTTAGGGCTCACGACCGCAGCAGGTGTTTATACTGTACTTGTAGATATGTGCGGGTGGTGCGTGGCTGCTGGCTTTCCAAGCCTCAGACACATGTAATGTGAGACTGTTCGGCATGGAGTGGTTTCTGCTAAAACGGTCAGCTTCTAAAGCGGAAGTTCATGCTCGTGATGATAACCATCACCGTCATCACCAGCAGCAGCAGCAGCAATAGTAGTAGTAGTAGCAGCAGCAGTAGTAGCACTAGGAGTAGTAGTAAGTAAGTAAGTAAGTAAGTAAGTAAGTAAGTAAGTAAGTAAGTAAGTAAGTAAGTAAGTAAGTAAGTAAGTATGTATGTAAGTAAGTAAGTAAGTAAGTGAGTAAGTAAGTAAGTAAGTAAGTAAGTAAGTAAGTAAGTAGTACGTGCTATTTGCTACTTACTACTTGCTTCTACTACTACCACTACTACTGCGACTACTACTACTACTACTACTACTACTACTACTGCTACTACTGCTACTAATACTACTACTGATACTGCTACGACTAATGCTACTATACTACTACTACTACTACTACTACTACTACTAGTACTACTACTACTACTACTACTACTACTACTACTACTACTACGCACTTGTACCAGTTCCAGTACTTTCAGTACTACTTGTTGTGCTTGGCTATCTTGCAGTACTTGTTGTACTAGTAGTCGTTTTCGCCGTCGTCGTAGTGGTAGTGGCTGTTGTTGTGGTGATGATAGCAGTGCTAGCAGTGGTGGTAGTAATAGTGGTAGTGACAGTGATGGTGACAGTGACGGTACTAATTAGTGGCAGTTCCGGTTGCCGTCGTAGTAGTTAGTGGGGTCGTGGTGGTGGTGGCGGCGGCGGGGGTGAGCAGCAGTAGAATTCACATCCCAAATGTCAATTCAAGATGTTTTGATCGGAGCCCCTGCATGAAGCATGTTTTATCGACTTTGGCTCAAGCTTGAGCAGCTTAATCTTGGAAAGTACGCTTCAAGACGCAATCGAGATGTAGACTTAGTGGAAGTCCGGTGTTGTCCAAAGACTGTTGGCTTCGTGCCTTAGCGAGAACCGTCGTATTCCGAAGGGACATGCTGCAATTACCTGGGAAGCAGATTGACATGAAATGTCCCCGGTCTTTGTGGGGCTTTGTTACTAACTCGATTGTGCCTGCGACCATGGACGCCCCATGTAACAGGGGTCCGCCTTGCAGCAGCCAGGCCATGTCTGTTTTGGTGCCGCTGTAGGACTTTGTGGGAGTGATTGGGTCTTCGACTCGACGGAGTTGTCCGCGGATCCAGGCGGCAAGGTACTGGCAGCACAAATCTCAGAAAAGTAATGAAATAGAACCTTGCTGCCAGCAAACACCGTCAGTACCTAGTTTTGCATGAAGCACGTGATGCACTTGACTTGGTCCTCTCTGTTGCTCGAGCCTTCGAAATCTCTAGTGCGCAGACGGGACAATACAGGGGCGCCAGGTCCTACTTTCGAGCCAGCGTGGTAACGATTGTGAAATGCTCATCAGCCCGAAGACACAGAGATAGGCCCCCTTGCATACAGTCTTCAACAGGCTCCCTGAACCCTCGGCCCCCACTGGGCCGGCTCAGCAAACCTCGGACCCTTGCCACCATGCGAACCGGAGATCCGAACTTGGAGCGTTGAAAGTGGAAAGCAGTACGTACAGGCTCGAGATGCCATCCCCCGCAGCACTGGAGTTTCACTACCGAAGCCAATGCCCTCAGGTCTCACATCTATATTTCAGACTAGTTCAGTGTCTTCCCCGGCACTCCCGTATCCAAATAGATCCCATTTAAACCAACAAAACCCTAGTCCCTAAACTATTCCTATCTGCCCTTCGACCTCATGAGAAGGTTGAATGGCTTCATGAGGAAGTGGAAGGCCATGTGAACCTCATCGTCCTCATCTGTGTATTTGTTGTTTTCGGGCCTCTTGGCGGAAGAGAGTTGGATCTGCCAGACGTTGAGAAGCGGATCGAATCTGGGGCCCATCTGGAGTTCGGACGTCTAGAAATTTGCGTCGGCAGACCACTAGAATCTTCATCAGACCATGAGGTCGTAATCTGTCTTGATCGCCTTCCCAGCCGCCCCCCCCCCCGTCCGAGGTGTTTGGGAAGCTCTCTCGGATTCGGGCCAAACGGTATTTTGCGTTTAGCTTTTGCCTGTAGCATTGTGCACCTTCCGTGATCTCTCGCTTAAGACTTTAATATCGTGGGTACTCGAGTCGCTGAGGGTAACAGTGTTGTGGAAAGCTCCTCAGTCCTTCAACATACACTCCAAACTCCTGTTCTAACCACACAGCTGGGCATCATGAACATTCGTCTGGAGTGCGCGGCAAGTATGTGGCAGCACAGTATCTCTCGGTTGGTATTATACTGTACCTCATGTAGATCTGGCGTGGGTTTGCATCCTGTCGGCTCCGGTCAACTAAACCAGTGCGTTGAGAGCTTCGGTGTGAAGCTTCACGAAGTCGAGAGCTTCTTGAAGGGCTCCTGCAGTTCCATTCTGAGCGCTCACATCCTGAGCCCGACGGTCATCAAAAAAGTCTACACTGTCTACACGTACGCATGTTCCCACCCGCGTCTCCTAGGAGCCACTGGCATCCTCGAAGCCTTCTACCTGTAGTCCTGAAGCCAGCAGCTTGTGACTGAGGAGCCTCACAGGCTATGTCCTGGCCTCTTGGCAAGACACGGGTGGGGCAAAGCGGGCCGGGCGGGAAAAGGGCTGAGGTCAAAGCCTACACAAGAATAGGACATTGAGAGAATCAGGGATGCTCTTGAGCTGCAGCACCCACAGTCTCCGGTTTCGACAACGGCAGCATGCCAACAACCTTTGGTGGTGTGGCTCAGCAGTTTATGCCTTGAGGTCATGGGACATTGCGTTGGCTTTTCAAGGTTCAGCAAAGAGGCTCTCTGGCTTGGAACGAAGTGGCCCAGGGCCTAAGACAAACCCGAAAACGACATGAATGGAGCAACTCGGACAGTTGAGGGTTGTGTCCGCTTTCACTTCCTGCGTACCAGGCATACCACTTGCATTGAAGATCCTGTCAAAATCACAACGGTTTCTACGTAGACAAGAGTCTGTTAGCTCAAGACAGAAGGCCAAGCTTAGCGACATGGTTGTTACAAGCTTATTTTTCCAAGTCGGCATAGCATGAGTCGCCCGCCCAGGTCCGATATTTTGGTGGGTTCGCTCAGCCGCTCTTCTGTCCAGTGCATCCTGCAGCTGAAGGTTTTCGTATTTGTGGCCGGGTTGAGGGCGTCTAAAGGGGCTTGGGTTTAGGTCAGGGGGGCGCCCATCCCAGCAAAGGGAGACAGGGTCGAAGCCTGGATGCGACTTCGCACCTTTGGGGCTCGAGGGCCGCCGAATCGAAAGTGCCTTTTGACGAGAAGGTCTGAACGGCAAGAGACGAATGAAGGCAGGTGCACAGTAGCAGTAGCAGCAACGACAGAAGCAATCAATCGCAATCATCGTCATCGACATTGTCATTACCGCCACCATCATCATCATCATCATCATCGCAATCGTCATTGTCACCGTCTTCATCAACATCATCAACATCAGCACCATCAACACCAACAACATCATCATCATCAGAATCATCATCATCGTCATCGCCGCCGTGGTCACCCTGATCACGCTCACCTGCATGAGTAGCGACCATACTCATCATGATGAACACCCGTCATTGCAAGGCTCAGGAAAAGCGGTTTCCCGGACTGAGTGTGGCTTGTTTCTCACCAGTCAATCCCTCACAAACCAGGATGCTGTGCGACGTCCGGCGATGGATCAAGGAGCAACACCTGCACTATAACGCCTCCGAGCGTAAACCGGAAGCCTGAAGCTTGCGGTGCTCTAGTGAGTATTGCCGCATTGG